AGGACGAGAGCTCCGAGAGCGACTCGGCCGACGACGAGGAGGAGGAGCGCGGCGCGGCGCCGGCGGGGTGAGGGCGGCCCCGGCGCCGGCGCCGGCCCCGCGGGACCCCGGCTGCAGCGCGCGGCGCTCAGCGGGCCGCCCTCCCGCCCGCCGCCAGTGCCTACAACCCGGCCGACTACGACTACCTGCCCGTGTCCAGCGAGGTGAAGGAGCTCTTCGAGTACATCCGGAGGTGAGCGGGAGCGGCCGCGCCGGCCCCGCGCGCCCCGCAGCCCCGCGGGGTGTCACGGGCCCCCCGTGCCGCCCTGGCCAGGTACACGCCCCAGGCCATAGAGCTGGAGCACAAGCTGCAGCCTTTCATCCCGGACTTCATTCCCGCCGTGGGAGACATCGACGCCTTTTTAAAGGTATTGCGGAGTCCCCGCGGGCAGAGGAGGGGGCGCTGCTGGCGCTGCCCCCTCGGGCACCTGCCGGGGCAGAGCGGCCTGGCGCTCGCTCGGTGGCCGCAGCGTGAAGCTTGTGCGGGGGCCGCGGCGGCAGCCCCGCTGTCTCCCCTCCTTCGGAGGTGCCAGGAACCTGGCCCTGTCTCCGCAGGTGCCGCGTCCGGATGGCAACCCTGACAACCTGGGCCTGCTGGTGCTCGACGAGCCCTCCACGAAGCAGTCGGACCCCACAGTGCTCTCTCTGTGGCTCACGGAGGACTCCAAGCAGCACAACCTCGCAGTGAGTTGCGATCACAGGGGAGTTTTCCTGCTGCTACAGGGAAAAGACCTGCCTCTAGCCACACTTTTGTGCCCATAGGAATACTGCCTTGCAGCAAAACTGGTAACTTGGCCTTAAAAGGGGAAAACAAAGCACCCCGAGCCACAAACATTTCCTACTTCTCTCCTGAAACACACGCAGACCTTGCTTCTAGGGAGGAAGACCTTGCTTCCTCTGTGTGTTTCCTTCCCCTCAAGCTGAGGTTCCTCTTCCTTCTCGCTCCTGGCCTGTTCTAAGCATTTGTGTCCCAGCTGCTCGTCCGTCTCTGCAAAGCAGCTTGCAGGGCGCAGCCTGCAAAAAGGCTTCCAGTTCAGTGGGGCTGCCCGTGACGTTTGCAGAGAGGCACTGCCCTCTGTTTGCAGGCTGACATTTCTCTCTAGCAGCAGATAAAAGTGAAGAGCATAGAGAACGCAGAGAAGAACCCCAAGGCTATTGACAGCTGGATCGAAAGCATCACAGAGCTGCATCGCTGCAAGCCTCCCGCCACTGTGCACTACAGCAGGTGAGCGGGCGCTTGAGCCAGGCCTGCGTGGACTGACCCGTGCAAGCGGCGCCGTGGGCGGGAGGCGCCCGTGCCCGCACCGGGCAGGACACCCGCGCCCCGCTCTGCAGCAGGGGCAGGAAGGCGGCTCCATCCACGGAGGCGGGAGCGGTGCCGGAGCCGCCGCGGCTGCGAGCTCCGGAGCTGCCGCCTGCCCCGGCTGCCACACGGAGCTTCCAGCCTCGCCCCCCAGGCTTCGGCCACCAGGCCACACAGCGGAGACGCCCTCTGCACTTCATCTCCCTTTCCTGAATAGAAGTGCCTGAGGGGACATTCTGCAGCCGCCCTGTCCCCCAGCTGGGCACAACACTGACTGGCACCACGGTGGCAATAGGAAGCCATTCCCAAGGCCAGCGTTTAATCCTGCAGGACGTGTTTGTTTTTTTCTCCTCCCCTTGCAGACCAATGCCCGACATTGAAACTCTCATGCAGGAGTGGTTGCCGGAGTTCGAAGAGCTCCTGGGAAAGGTACGTTGGCCGGGAAGGGCACCGAGTTCGGCTCCTGATGCCGGTGACCGTCCTGTGCGTCACCCAGGCTGCGCGGCTCCACTCCCCGGGTGCCGTCGGTCCCGTGGCAAGGCCCGGGCCTCGGCGCCTGCATCGCCACGCGCAGCGTGTGCTCGGGCTGGCGCTCCCTGCGCGCGGAGCTGCCAGAGCCCTCTGTTCCAGGTGAGCCTGCCAACCGCGGAGATAGACTGCAGCCTGGGCGAGTACAGCGACATGATCTGTGGTAAGCAGAGGACACCCCTCTCGTGCCCTGCTCCAGAGGCGCCGGACTGACTGGGTACAGAGCCCTGTGAGGGCTGAGCGGCTGTGCTGGGCAGCCTGCTGGCGCGAGCGCACATCCCCTGCCTCGAGCCCTGGGCCGAGAAGCGGGTACCCCAGCGCCCCCGGGTGCGCCGGCTCCTTCTGCGAGCGCGGGCGGATGCCGTGCGAGCAGCCCCGCGCGGGTCACTGAGAGGAAGGGTCCCGCGGGAGGCTGGCGCTGCTCTAGCAGCCCTCTCGGGAGGGCAGCAGAGCCCGGGAGCCCTCAGGTGCTTCTGCGCTCTGTCCATAGCCATTCTGGACATCCCTGTGTACAAGAGTCGCATCCAGCCCCTGCACGTGCTCTTCTCCCTCTACTCGGAGTTCAAGAACTCACAGGTGAGCAGTGCCTCAGCCTCCAGCGCGGACCATTTGCAAACTTCTGAGACCTGCACTTGCTACCCAGCGCGTTTGCAGATGCCCAGGACAAAACAGCCCAGCCCAAAAGGGCCCAAAGAGCATCTGCTGAGCTACTCCTTTTCCTAATGTTTACATGATATATCAAGAAAATGTAGCAGTGGTGCGACTGCAACATGACACAAGGAGCCTCTGATTTACCGCTAAGCTGCCACACAGCAGCATTCACAGTGCAGGACGAGTGCCCAGGGAAGTCACAGTGAGTCAGGCACATACAGAGGCTCGGACCAAACTGGCCTGGGAACCCCACAGGCCAACCCGAGGCTCTAGGAGTCTCCTGACCACCCCAGTCACACGAAGGAAATTGGGCTAGGGCTTTGACAGGCTGCCTGTGTTCTAGTCCTCGAGAATTCAACCTTTGCACTTGTGCTTTCTTTCCCCACAGCACTTTAAATCGCTGGCCGAAGGGAAGGCGGCCGGGAGCCCTCCTTCCAACCCGGCCTCCCAGGCAGCAGAAGTGCTGAGCTTCACGTGAAGCTTCGCCTTACATCCCCTTCTGCTGCCTCCGTATCTGCGGCAACTTCAGAAGTTCCACCAAAGCACCTTGCAAGGCAAAGCACAGCAATCCAAAAGACTCCCACCTTTCAGGGACACTGCTAGGGAATCAGAGGGTAGGATTTGAGCCCTGGCATGTGTTGCAGAAGCTGCCTCATCCTTCCCTCTCAATTGTTCCCAAGGAATAAAACATTACACTCCCTCCAGCAAGCAAGAGTCTCTGTGTGACACCGTGCAGACCTGCAGAGCAGACTTGTCATGCGCTACAGCTGCTGGACATAAATTCCATGCTCAGAGAGCAAACCGAGTCATATACTGTGCTCCAGGGTCCTGCTCTATCCAGGAATCCCCTCTGCCCGTTACTGCCCTTTCTCTCTTCTCAGCTCACTTGGGTATAGGCACCAATGTCACTGCTGTGTTTTTCCATGTTCTACCAAACAAAGTCTATGAAGGCAGGAGGAGGCTGGGAGGGCACAGGGCTCTCTGCCCACCGCGCACTGCCCGCAGGTGACAACAGGCGACACGGGGCACGTTTGTTATAGGCTCAAAGGGTGACAAGGGCAGGGTGTTAAAAGCTGGAGGAGGTGCTGCCTTTCCTGCTCCCATCAGCTATTCTACCAGAGTGCATCAGAGAAAGAAAGGAACGAGGAGGAGAAATCAGGAGGACGGTGGCGGGTGGACACGCGAGTTCCTTTATTGCCGTTGGGAAGAGCCCCCGGCCCGGCGCCGGCGCAGCCGCACGGAGCTCCCGGCACCGGCAGGCGCCGAGCAGGGGCCCCGCAGCCGCCCGCCCCGCGCCGGGACGCTCCGCAGCAGCAGCCGCTGCGGTCGCGCTGGAAACAACTGCGCTGCCTTTGGACGATAACCTATTTTTAACGTGCTGAGGTTAAATCAAGACATGCCTTGGCTAAGGGCAGAGCTACTGGAAGCGAGCAGGGGAGCTCCTGCCAGCCGGCTGCTCCGGCGCGTGGCCCTGTGCGTGGCCGTGGGGCTGCTCCGCGCCGGCGGCACCGCGTCGCTCCCCGGTGCCAGGCCCCCCAGCCAGGCAGGCCCCGCGCGCTGCTCCCTTACGAAGGGTGAGAGCCGGGACAGGGGCGCGGAGCAGCCTCCCGCAGCAGCGGCGTCCGCTGGGGCCCTCTCGGTATTCCCGGGAGCAGGCCCCGCTTTCCCTGCTGCAAGGCAGCCGGGAGCAGCAGCACCCTGCGCGTGTCTGCCCTTTCAAAACCTCTCCCAAGGGCTCCTGCCCAGCCCAAACGGGGAGCTCCTTTCTCATTCACGCGGCACGAGGTGTCCCCCATGCGGCCCAATACAGCACCTGGGTCCCAGAACGGTCAAGCCTGGGGAACTGGGGCAAGGCCAGCCGAGTTCTGCCCGAGGACGGGCCCATCGGCAGCCACACGAAGGACAAGCTGCATACACAGCACTGTGGGAAAACCCGGGTCAGGGGGCCGCAGAGTCCTCAGCATTAGCCAGGCCTAGGCTGCTGCTGGGCGCCCTGTGCCCCTGTGCCTGGCAGGCACCCCGAGCCCTCCCGGGGCCCCGGGGTTGCTCCCCAGCCCGGCTCACCAGAACCAGCTCCGCGCCGCAGCTCCATGATGAGAACGGCCGGGATCCAGGGCGGGCAGCACCAAGGACCAAGCGTCTCAGAGCCAGATCTCGTCGCTGCTGGTGCTGGACACCTTGTAAATGTAGCCGGTGGCGGGCAGGCGGACGAACCCTGCGGCGCCGAGAGGACAAGTGCTGCGGTCTGCGGAGCAGCCACAGAGCAGTGCCTCCCCGCACGGCCCCGAAGCTGCCAAAGCCCCCACCGAGGCCCACGAGCACCGGGCCCTTCTCCAGCTCCAGTCGGGCGGCCTCCTCTCCTGTGGCTCCGGGGCTGCCTGTGCGCAAGGAAGGAAGGACGGACAGAAGGAAGGGCTCAGAGCAACGGGGGACCCCGTGGCGCTGCCGGGACTCACCTCGGGGCTCCTGCGCCAGGTCGCTGAGGCGCAGGTTGGGCGGTAGGGAGCGGTGCTCACGGGGCAGCTGCGAGCAGCCGGGGCAGCTGCGTTGGGAGCAGAGGCTAAGCGTGGGGCCCCGCAACCGTGCGTCCCTAGGGTGGCAGGTGCCCCAGGGCGCTCTGTGGAGCGGAGCCCCGTGGGGCGCAGAAGGACGGACTGACCTGGGGGGCAGAGGCGAGGCCGCGGGTCCGGGCAGCCCTGTGGGAAGAGGGCGTCAATGCGGCGGTGTCGGAGAGGGGGCCCCGGCCGCCTGCCCTTACCTGTGCCAGGCTTCGCGTGGCGGCGGGCGGCCACGCAGCCCAGGCCCAGCAGGGCGCCCAGCACCACGGCCACGCCGGCAGCGACCCCCAGCAGCGGCAGCTCCACGCGGGCGTCCCAGAGACCTGCGCGAGCGCCGGGGCCCTCAGCAGCCACTGCTGCTGCCACCGACCCCGTCCCCATCCCCGCAGACCTACCTGGGGCCGGGATGGAGGCGTTAGCAACGCCGAGGCCGTTGGTGGCGTGGACAGAGAAGGTGCCGGGCAGGGCGCTGAGATGCACGGTGTGGTTGGTGAGCGCAGGGTGCCCGTTGGCATCAGGAGCCAGCAGGGAGGTGTTGACCACAGGCCGGCCGTCGGGGCCGAGCCAGGTGATGGCGGCGGGTGGGTTGGCCTGCACCGGCGCCAGCAGCACCACGAGCAGCCCGGGCGCCGCAACCTCAGCTGGGTGCGTGTCCGTGCGCAGGATCTCAGGCGGGACTGCGTGGGCATGGGCGCCTGTCAGCAGCACCATGGCACCAGCCCCCACCCGGCCGCAGCTGCGCGGGGCAGCCCGTGCGCAGTCGAGCTCACGCTGCACGTCGAAGTGCACGGAGGCATCGGTGGCACCGGGGACTGCAGGGGCCAGGGCGCACGTGAGCTGGCGGTCGGCGCGGCGTGCAGGCAGCGTGAAGGTGCTGGGGGCGCCGGGCTCGGCCAGGCTGTCGGGCTGATGGGGGCGGCCGTCCAGGTACCAGGCGAGCGCGGTGGCGGGGAGCGGCGCCCGGCAGGTGAAGGGCCAGCGCTCGCCATCGCGCAGCGCCCGTGCCCGCCCATCCATGGCGGGGCCGGGCCCCGCCGGGGCAAGGGGTGCCGGGGGTGCCCGCGGGGCGCCGTGTGCGCGGGGCGCAGCCGCGGCGCAGAGCAGCAGCCGCAGC